TTTCCCTGCTCAGCCTGTGCAAGTTGATAGATTTAAAATTGGAAGATTAGGACTTAACCTCAAGTGAAGCTTTTCCTCCCTCCTTTCAAACAAAAGTATTTTTAAAGGTAGAAAATTGTAAAAGATAAACTTTGACTGCCCTTTTGAAAATTTATAACAGTACTAACTACCGTTAATCATTGGAAACATCTTGATTTGCATACATTCTATAACTCTAAATATTGAATAATATTAATTTGAATCCTGAGTTTCCTTTTGGTTAAAGTTTTTTTAAAAATCAAAGTAAGAATTAATTTGTTTTAAAAATTTGTTGTTATTTCAACTCTCTTTTTGCATAGTACTTTTTTTTTTTCCTGGTCATGTGAATCCATAGTACTTTTTAAAACTAAAATTTATTTAAATACCAATAACTAGAACTACTATGGAACTGTTGTATAGGCCATATTTCACTTAATGTAAGGTACCATGGATTGTATGATGCCCCATTATTTTATGTATCAATAAGAGAATTTTTTAAATGTTGCCAATTGTAGTTTTAATAAGTCATCAATTACAAGTGGCATTCCAAAGAGATGTTAAAATGTGAGAAAATGAGCATCTTAGAATCATTGAAACAAAGTGTTATCACTTATCTTTAAAACATACTACGAAAGTAGGTACAATTATGTCATTTTATTTGATTAAAATATCTTTATTAAGTAGTAGTAATAGTAAAAATTATAATATCTAACAATTATTGAGCTGTTGTTTGTGCTAGGAACTGTTCTAAATACTTTGCATAGATTCTTATTTAAACATCAGCAATGGTAGCAATAGATAGCTACTATTTTTGTCCTCATTTTATTGATGAGGAAATTGAGGCACAGAAAGGCTGAGTGATATCTACTAAGTGGCAGAGCTTCAAGTAGGATCCAAACGTAAGTTGAACTGAATCCGAAGGCCAAGCTCTTTCTATTCACCCAGGCTACTCTTTCATTAATGTAGTGGGTAATAACAGCTAAGAAGTATTAGAGCTTTTTAAGAAGAAAGTTAAATATTTGTTTTGAAGGCAGAAGAATAACATGCTACTTAATGTTTATAATTGCATGAATATTTTGAGGTAGCACACTACAGTTTCCTGAAACATCCTCTCCCTTTCATAGGACTGCTCTACATTTGGCCTGTGCCAACGGCCATTCAGAAGTGGTGACGCTCCTGGTGGACAGAAAATGCCAGCTTAACATGTGTGACAGCGAAAACAGGACAGCTCTGGTGAAGGTATATGGTAGCCAACTATTTCAGCATGAGATGGATTGGATTTAAATACATAGAATAAAAATGAATTTATCTCCTTTAAATATAACTACTGGGTAAAAATCTGTGGAGTGTTTATTTTGAATTCCTAGAATTTACCATCCATTTCTTGGTGTAATACTAACAGGCTGTACAATGCCAGGAAGAGGAATGTGCAACTATTCTGCTAGAACATGGTGCGGATCCAAATCTTACAGATGTCCATGGCAACACTGCTCTCCACTATGCTGTCTATAATGAAAATATACCAATAACGGCGAAACTGCTTTTACACAATGCAAATACTGAAGCAAAAAACAAGGTATAGATCAACTTTATTTTCAAAATATTTGAAATGCATTTGTTTTAACCTTGACAAATGTAAGGGTCAATTTTCCATATTTGGAAGCTCAAACATTCCTTGAGTGAAAATATTTTGAAATAATTGTCTAAGATTTAACTTCTAATATTGATACTTTAAAAGAAGCATTAGAGGGAATAGCTTTCTTTTATGCATTTATGGTATAGTTGTGAAAACATTGTATTTGTTAAAGGTAAAACTTTTTTTTTCCAAACACTTTTTCCCCACCAGCTTTTTTTTTTTTTCCTTAATCTGT